GGGACTTTGTAGAAAACGAAGCGTTTGAGAGGCGGGGCATAGAGGACTTACAATAATGTACAGTATTTGAAAAATAATGTGTTTTTTGAACATTAAAGCATGTCAACATATTCCGTTACACCAAATACACAAAATAATGATCTTTAAAAAAGCATCATATGACCCCTTTAACATCACTGATTATGCAATAGAATTCTACTACTAGGCATTTTGGGATTGCTAATTATAGTTTTCTGTCTTTTCTACTACGTTTTGCAGCATGCAGCGGAACTGGAGCAAAAACAAAATGACACTGAGAACAAGAAATTGTTGGGAGAGGTTGTCAAATATAGTCGGGTTATACAGGTACAGTCGAGCTTCCCTCTTCTTATCAACAAATGTTTGTTTTTTACACTTTTGGTTGGACATCAAGAACGTTCTGTTTGTTTTCACACTGTTGCCAAGGCTGCCAGTGCCCCGCTCAAGGGCCAAAGAGGCATTTGACAGCGTGGGTGATATACGGCTCTAGAACCAATAGAAAAAAATGCCTGTTTGATTGGTCACTTTGATCTAAGTGTTTCTATGGGCTTACACAAAAACCATGGTTGCCGACATTTTGCCAAACATATTTGACCCAACGGGCCTCTTCGTTTGAGTTTTGCAGTTGCCTTCAAGGCGACTGACTTGACTGAAATTCGTGTGTGTGTGTGTGGCCTTGTGTTTTACTTTCAAAGACAAGATTTGAAATTCAAAAGTCTGGCTATGTATGTCTAGCATCTGATAATAAACTGAAAGTTTCAGTTTAGTATCAGATTATAGTCTCACAGAGCCAGATTTTTCACTTTTGAATTATGGCTGGTCTATATTTGCATCTTATTTTACTTATATTCATTCTAATATGCTGATTTGGTTCTAAAGAAATGTGTAATATTAATATTTTTGTAGAAACAGTAATACATTTTTTCAGGATTATTTGATGAATAGAAATTTCAAAAGAACAGCATTAATTTGAAATAGATTTTTTTTTGGTAATATATAAATGTATTTACTGTCATTTTTGATGCATTGAAAAAAAATCATATAGACCTCAAATTTTTGAATGATAATGTATGTGGTACAGTATTTTTAATACAGTAAACTGTCCTTATATTTTCAGCTTCTCCATATTAAGAGTAATAAGTACCTGACAGTGAATAAGCGTCTTCCGGCCCTGCTGGAGAAGAACGCCATGCGTGTCTCTCTGGACCCTTCAGGAAACGAGGGCTCCTGGTTCTACATCCAGCCTTTTTGGAAGCTACGCAGCGAAGGAGACAATGTAGGCTTCACTCCACTAACACAACAAACACTTCAGAAACAATCGCTGTGTTTAGGTTCTGACTTTTATCATGTTTTTCTTTTTTTAAACATGCAGTGAAGAAATTACTGCATTATCATTTTAAAAAGCTAATCACCTCTCATCATTATATTAACATTTTGTTGTGTTAACTGGTCTCTCCTCTTGTTTTCATCTCAGCAACTGAATCGTGAAGGTATATAATATATTTGGCGCATGCAGTGTGTGTGTGTGTGTATACACAGAGAAGTATGCAGCATGCTAACATGCATGTGACATGCAACCCTAACTGCCTGTTACAGTCTTGATTTTTTTCTTTCAAGCCTGAACTATTAAAATATATCCAAATACAATCAGTTCTAGTATGCAAATAGTTTCCAGATCAGAATAGAATTATTAAATAGCATCCAAACTGGTTCAGATTCATTGTTGACATCAGTGGCTTGAGTTCTGAGTGAGATTGGTTGTGTGTGACTGTGATGTTATATTATGTATAGAGAAAGAGAACGATAAACACTTCACTCACATGTTCTTCACAAACTGTGCATTTACACTAGCTCTTTAAGCATGCAATGGATATTATATCTGTGTGTAAACAAGTTGTCCGTAATTTTTCATTAGTATCTGCAATTTACGACCCCATGAAATAGCTTGACAAGTGCAGTTTTCTTTCCCATGTGACAATATACTTTTCTTTCTTAATACCCCATGGCCTTTATTTTGTTGGTAACATTAGTATGTGAATACAGTAATAAAGTATGTATAAATCAAACTATAGTTAATTCATAGTTTATAAATTGTAGTCTCTACATTGTTAATACATTAATAGCTGATGTACAGATAGTTTGTTCTTCATTCATTGTCACTGTAATTTACAAATTTTCATTGTTCAGTTAACTCAATTAAGTTCTTTTTTTATCCTTCATAACCTAAACTTAACACTAGCTAAGATCTTTTAAAAACATTATTTCAGTATTTTATGCATTTTTTTGAAAAGTGTGGTTCTACCGTATGTGTATTTACTTACATTTGCATACACATCAGGAAAACATGCAATATTGACGTATTGACAGCATCTAAAATGTAAATCATTTACGTATGAACAACTTCATTGACCTACAAATGATTATTTAATCAATTATTATCAAATTAACGGAATTAAATGATTGGTTCTATTGAATTTGTGATCAGTGGCATTATGTTTTTATTCGCTTTTAACACAGTTGACTCCTTTTATTATGTTAGCATAAGAAAGGCATGCTTACAGACTTCATGGGGTCAAGTATAAATGTGTCTAAAACACCAGTTTCAAACTCTGCATGTCACAGGATGTGATGTCATTTGGTTTCTTTTACTGTTGAAATGGAGAAACAACAGAAACCTCTGTGGTTGAATGCAGTGTTATATATGTGTATGTGTTTGTAGGTGGTGGTTGGAGATAAAGTGGTTCTAATGCCTGTAAACGCAGGGCAGCCTCTCCACGCCAGCAACATCGAACTCCTGGATAACCGTGGCTGCAAAGAGGTCAGACACCAGCTGTGTTCTCCGCATAATAAATATACACAGTGCACACACATATATTATGTAAACAAAAACTTTTATTTTGGACTCGATTAATCGCGATTAATCATTTGACAGCACTGATAATTGCAATAACCTTAAATGTCTTAAAAATTCTAAATATATCGTATGAAAAGTAAAAGAAATGTTTGATTTGTGATATAATTGTTTTTTGAGTTAATAAAAAACAGTTTTGAGAAAAAGTGGAACTATAGAAACTATTGAAAAAGTAATGGAAATAAAGATGTGTGTTTTGTATTTCCGGTCTGTCAGGTTAACGCTTTGAACTGCAACACCAGTTGGAAGGTCACTCTTTTCATGAAATTCAGTGAATACAGAGATGACATATTAAAAGGGGTGAGTCTTATGTTGTGGTTTACTAGATATGTGGGGAGTGATGTATTGATTTAGGTTTGTTTTGTATTGAATGTGGTTTATAATATCTCTAATCATTTGTCTCTCTCTTTGATTCACTCAGGGGGATGTGGTGAGGTTGTTTCATGCCGAGCAAGAAAAGTTTCTTACTTGTGATGAGTACAAAAAGCAACAGTATGTCTTCTTAAGAACCACTCTCCGCCAATCCGCAACCTCCGCCACCAGTTCAAAAGCACTATGGGAAGTGGAGGTACGTATGTTTTTCTTGTTCACAAACTTAAAGTTATCTATATGTACGTAGTGAAGTAAAATGTATCATAACATTTTATGGTTTATAAATGGGATACACACTACTGTTCAAAAGTTTGGGGTCAATGACACTTTTTATAATGTTTTTGAAAAATCTAGGAGTTATTCCTTTGATGACAAAGCTGAATATTCAGCAGCCATTACTCCAGTTTTCATTTCTTATTATTATCAATGTTGAAAACATTTGTGCAGCATAATATTTTTGTGAAAACTAAATTTTTTAGGATTCTTTAAGAAATGAAAAGTTCAAAAGAACAGCCTTTATCTGAAATAAAAATCTTCTGTAATATTATACATTTATTTACTGTCATTTTAATCAGTTTAACTTGTCCTGGCTAAGTACAAATATGAATTTCTTTAAAATGAAAAACTTTATCATACCCGGAACTTTTGAACGGTAGTATATGTTCTTACTCAGATGTTAGAACAATATCATGCTGTACAGAATTAATCTGGAGTCTCTCATCCTGTCCCGTGTGCTTCAGGTTGTCCACTATGACCCCTGCAGAGGAGGAGCCGGCCAGTGGAACAGCCTGTTTCGCTTCAAACACCTCGCCACAGGACACTACCTTGCGGCAGAGGTGTGCATTCCATGTCTACTTTGTTTAGTCCTTCCCAGAAACTCATCTGGTTTTTCCCTTCTGCCTGTTTTACATAATTCAGTCATGGTTAAAGAGCTGTTTACTATATGGTTTGACATGTTGTGGTTTGTGTGAATTCCTGTGGTTTACATCTATTTGCATGCTGCACGCTTGAAGCTTTTCCTAGAGCAGTAAACTCACTGGTGCGCCACTTGGGTGATTTAGCTGCATTTACTCAACTGACCCTGAAATCAATAACATATTATCTGAATGCTGACATCAGAAGAATGTCACAATGTATTAGCAGTTCTCTCTGAGATCTTGCTGTCTACAAGAAACAATAGAGGAGTTTAAGGAGATCTTAATATCAACTCATATATTTCTCATCAAACACTCCCAACACCAGATTATCTGAACTTTAATATTCCGAATAATTTTATGGACGCTCTTCCCATTTCCAGGGTTCTCAGAATTGGAAGTCGTCACAACAAATATAATTTTTACGTTCCCATTTGCCCCAATAGCAAATGAAAAAAATCCACGATAGCGTTTCTACGACTTTCCAAAAGAGGAAAAAAATGAAGAGATTTATTATGTTGCACAGAAGAGAGAAAGAAGTAAGATTTGCCGTCACTTCCTCAGCCATTGTTTTAGAAACACTCAAGCAGCAGTGTTAACCCGTTTTCTGTAATTTAATGCTAAGGTAAGAAAACTCAAAGAATAGGGTTATAAATGTACAGTAATAAAAAAATTGTTTAAATAAAAATATGAAAAAACTTTGCTAAATTTGCGACGTTAATAACTGTGGAGATGTCATCACAGACTGTGAAAAGGGTCCAGAGCTCTGTACTTCTACTTGAATGTCAAGAGTAGTCTCATTTTTTTCAATTATTATTTCTGTTAAGGAATTTTGGAGAAACATCGGAGACAAAATGAATGCTTAAACTTTTTAACAGTAGTGTTTACCACATTAAATTGATCGAAAGTGACAGTACTTTTACAATGTTACAAATAATTTGTAATCATGAAATGCATCAAAGTTTTGACAAAAATATTAATAGCACAACTGCTTTATTAAAATCATTAATAATAAGAAATGTTTCTTGAACACCAATCTGCATTAAAATGATGTGATGCTGAAATCTGGAGTAATGGCTGTCGAAAATTCTGCTTTACCTTTAAAGGAATAGATTTTGTTTTAAGGTATATTAAAATAAAAAACTGTAATTTTTTATTTATAATAATGTTTTACAATATTGCTGTTTTTACTGTATTCCTGATCAAATAAATGCCCTTTTTTTTTTTTTCAAAACATAAAAAAAAAAACGTACCAATCCCAAATTTTAGAATGGTAGAGTACACATAACTTTTATAGTCAAGTCTTCTAAACTATAAAAGATCAACCTCTGAAAATGTTCTATTGTGATGAAGATGGGCTGCAGGTGGCAGCCTTCTCAATGTTATTGTCACAGTGGTGTGGAATCCGTCACAGCCATCCACTGTGCACAAGGCAGACAGAGGGGTTATTGTCCAAGATAAAAATGATGAAACAACCCCCCTTTGTAACTGTGTGTATTCCATAAGGCCTTCATGAACACTGCTGCTTCTTTTTCAGGTGAATCCTGATTTCAAAGATCGTACCGACAGTATCAGCACCAAAAACGAGGTAAGTCAGACCTCACTTGGATGCCAACCTATGTGAGTCATAACTAGGCTTGCAGAATTCCACAGAAATATCTGCAGAGTTCCACAGAAGATCCTTTTCCCATTCTTCAGAATACACACATATTTTTTTAAGTTTGCAGACTCTATCTTTGAAGTATTAATCACATTTGCTGATTGTGTTGAACTGTATTTGAAGTTTTGTGTCTGACTCTCTCTGCTGAAGTAAACAGAACCCGTTCTGTCTCGTCTACACAGCATTGCGGCTCAGCCCAACTCTCCTGCACAACTTCTCTATTACGTAATCCGCTTCTCTCCCCTCCTTCACGCTGCAACAGACAGCCTCGCACAACTCCCGTCCTCCTACTCTCCGGAATTTTTTTTTTTCTTCCGCCTGTATCTCTCACTGCACCTTTCCGCTGTATTAGCATTCTGCTTCAGCAGCCTTGCAGACAAACACACTCGCACACGCTCGCGCACACTCGCAGAGGGGGCTCCTTACATAATGTCTGAATCTGGGGGTGCCCCGTGAGAGTCTGGCAGACGTGCTGTCTGCTTCAGTGGAGGAGTGAGTCAGAGGAGCTGCAGAGAGTCAGAGCAGAGGAGAATTTATAATGCTGCTCTCCAAATAGCCCTCCATCAAAAAGCTCCGGTGAAAACAGTCTGTGCTACAGATGCAGTCCTGCATAATATCCTCACTGTAGATGACCTCTGGGTTTTTCTCAGAATTTTTTTGCAAGATCTGTTTGAGCTGTGGCCATTGTAGGAATTGCAGGTTCAATGGAAATGTTTCTTGAACACCAATCTGCATTAAAATGATGTGATGCTGAAATCTGGAGTAATGGCTGTCGAAAATTCTGCTTTACCTTTAAAGGAATAGATTTTGTTTTAAGGTATATTAAAATAAAAAACTGTAATTTTTTATTTATAATAATGTTTTACAATATTGCTGTTTTTACTGTATTCCTGATCAAATAAATGCCCTTTTTTTTTTTTTCAAAACATAAAAAAAAAAACGTACCAATCCCAAATTTTAGAATGGTAGAGTACACATAACTTTTATAGTCAAGTCTTCTAAACTATAAAAGATCAACCTCTGAAAATGTTCTATTGTGATGAAGATGGGCTGCAGGTGGCAGCCTTCTCAATGTTATTGTCACAGTGGTGTGGAATCCGTCACAGCCATCCACTGTGCACAAGGCAGACAGAGGGGTTATTGTCCAAGATAAAAATGATGAAACAACCCCCCTTTGTAACTGTGTGTATTCCATAAGGCCTTCATGAACACTGCTGCTTCTTTTTCAGGTGAATCCTGATTTCAAAGATCGTACCGACAGTATCAGCACCAAAAACGAGGTAAGTCAGACCTCACTTGGATGCCAACCTATGTGAGTCATAACTAGGCTTGCAGAATTCCACAGAAATATCTGCAGAGTTCCACAGAAGATCCTTTTCCCATTCTTCAGAATACACACATATTTTTTTAAGTTTGCAGACTCTATCTTTGAAGTATTAATCACATTTGCTGATTGTGTTGAACTGTATTTGAAGTTTTGTGTCTGACTCTCTCTGCTGAAGTAAACAGAACCCGTTCTGTCTCGTCTACACAGCATTGCGGCTCAGCCCAACTCTCCTGCACAACTTCTCTATTACGTAATCCGCTTCTCTCCCCTCCTTCACGCTGCAACAGACAGCCTCGCACAACTCCCGTCCTCCTACTCTCCGGAATTTTTTTTTTTCTTCCGCCTGTATCTCTCACTGCACCTTTCCGCTGTATTAGCATTCTGCTTCAGCAGCCTTGCAGACAAACACACTCGCACACGCTCGCGCACACTCGCAGAGGGGGCTCCTTACATAATGTCTGAATCTGGGGGTGCCCCGTGAGAGTCTGGCAGACGTGCTGTCTGCTTCAGTGGAGGAGTGAGTCAGAGGAGCTGCAGAGAGTCAGAGCAGAGGAGAATTTATAATGCTGCTCTCCAAATAGCCCTCCATCAAAAAGCTCCGGTGAAAACAGTCTGTGCTACAGATGCAGTCCTGCATAATATCCTCACTGTAGATGACCTCTGGGTTTTTCTCAGAATTTTTTTGCAAGATCTGTTTGAGCTGTGGCCATTGTAGGAATTGCAGGTTCAATGCTGTCGATTAACAGTTGTCAGTTTTTTAAAAATGAGCAAAGATGTGTTTACAGTAGCACACTAACATTGGAACTGAATAAATGTTAAAACGCACTCTTTTATGGAAGTAGAGCCACAAGACATAAACATTGCAAGTTTCAACATGAGATTAGTCGAATGGCTTGCAATCGTGTCTTGTCATATGCAACCTTCGAATCCTGTTATGACCTTGTAATGCCAGCAAACAGCTTTAACAAAAATAAGCGTAAATAAAATAATCTTCTTTTAAATGCTTTACCCCATAGACTTCCATAGGAAGTGCATTACTATAAATAGGTTATTTTATTTTATTTTTTTATATTTAATTTGATTTTATTATTCAGCAGGGCAGTTTTTGTTATTTTACTGTTATTGAGATACTATTGTAGTTTTTATTCGTTGTTTAAATTAGTTTTTATGTTTTCCATTTTCATTTTAATTAATTCCATTTAGTCCATTTAATGTTTTGTTTGGCGTTTCTGTATTTTTTAGTTTTTTAATGTTTATATTGTTTAATTAATTTTTATTTCAGTTTCAGTTATTTTAGTACATCAATGAAAATGAGAAACGTTTCCTTAGCAACTGGCTTAAATATAATGCATTTATTATTTTTCATATTTTAGTAGCATTAATGTTGATTTTATTTCAAATAAAAAACTATATTTTTTAAGGTTTTAATCTTAATTTTAGTTAACAATAATAACCCTGGTTTGAGGTACTTTCACCATGAATATTTTTCATGTAAAAATAAAAGAAATCTCTGTAGAATAGAAAAATGCAGGAAAAAATTTATAATACAGTATATGAGAATATACTGTATATGAGAATACAGTATAAGAATAAAAATTACATATAGTAACCCATAATCACAAGTAAGTATATTTAAAACCAGTAGTAATGGTACAGTACATGCAGACTCAGTGTTACTTGCATTGTCATATGTGGGTTTTTATACACCAATGTGACCTTCCCCTGTCTCCTTGTGCAAACCTCAGACCAACACAGACACTTTGTACTCTAAAAAGAAGTGGCAGGCTGACAAGATCCCCTACACCCTTGTTGCAGTGCCCCATGGCAATGACATTGCCTCTCTTTTTGAACTGGATGCCACCACCTTACAGCGGGCAGACTGCCTAGTTCCCAGGTTTGTTCCTGTACACTAAAATGACTTTTAATCATGAAAACCATGAGATTAGAATGAAAAACACTTAAATTTAGATGTGCATTTATTTGTTTAACAAACCCTTTTATTGGAAATGAGGAACGGGACAAGCAATCTACCCTAAAGAGACAAGCTCTAACTAAGCTTCAAAATTGGCTAGAAGTGCAAGCTAAGAGATGTAGGTGTGAAAAAGCAGCAGTAAGGGTTTGAAAGGGAGTAATGATTGTAGAACAAGTGCTCCCAATGCATTCAAGTGCTCACGAAGCCTTTTTAGAGCAACCATTTAGATTTTAAAATATACTTATGAAACCATTTATCCAGATTAGTTTTTATTCAAGTCCCCATTAAGTGCTGTCGATATGCCAAATGTACTGTTGGGTATTTCCTGTAGCCGAAAAATCAGTATGATGCTAACAACTGCAAGGTCATGGGTTCGATTCCTTGAAAATATGTCCTTTTTTAGGAATTCCTATGTGAGACTCAGGAACTTGTGCACAAACACTTGGGTGACCAGTACTAACATTCCCATTGATGTTGAGGAGGAACGACCCGTTATGCTCAAGGTTGTTTATTTCCTTTATTTTTATTTGAAGAAAAATTAGTCTTGTCAATGAAAGCTTGTGTAATTTCTCTGTTTATTTGAACAGATCGGCACCTGCCGCATGAAGGAGGACAAGGAGGCGTTCTCCATTAATTCTGTCCCCCTGTCAGAAGTCAGGGATTTGGATTTTGCCAATGATGCCAACAAGGTCTTGGAGATGTTTGTGCGTATTTTGGGGATCAGCAATTTCGCAGTAGCAAATGAACGCAGGTATACGTCACACTTACTGAAGGCCTTTGAATTTGTTAAGGTGTGGTCACAATGGGGTCACAAACCTTTTTTTTTGCACACTAGCATTGTCCATTGTCAATAGCATAGAAATGTATGAAGCACAGCTCACACAGAAGTCACTTTCAAGCCAAGGAAGTAAAATGAGATCACTGTTATGCATTTATATTTTTACGTTTTATGTTATGTATTTATATTTTTACGTTTAGGTTTACTATTAAGCTTTTGGAGGATTTGATCTTCTTTGTGTGCGATGTGCCGAACAACGGACAGGACGTGCTGTCTGTGGTCATCTCGAACCCCAACAGAGAGAGGCAGAAACTCATGAGAGAGCAGAACATCCTGGCACAGGTTTGCTCGAACAGTAATCTCAAGTTGATTCTTAAAGAATCGTAGATTGCACAGCAAATTTCCGACTGTAATTTCTATGTTTGCAGATCTTTGGAATTCTTAAAGCCCCATTTTCTGAGGTTAAAGACTCGTCCATGCCGAAGCTGGAAGATATGGGGGAGCAGCGCAATGCTCCATTTAAGTACATGCTACAACTGTGTTACAGAATTCTGCGCCATTCCCAACAAGATTACCGCAAGAATCAGGCAAGGAACATCTTCAGTTATCAGTTTGAATTATTAGGGTTGTCCAGTAGACTAATATACGTGTCTTCTTTCTCACAGGAGTACATAGCCAAGAATTTTTCCATCATGCAGGCTCAAATCGGCTATGAGATCCTGGCCGAAGATACAATCACTGCTCTCCTGCACAACAACCGCAAACTGTTAGAGAAACACATCACTGCACGTGAGATTGAGACCTTTGTCAAACTTCTGCGCAGGAACCGAGAGCCCAGGTCTGACCCAGAGATTTAGACATCCACTCAAATGTTTGGCACTAACCAGTACCGGCAGAAAATGTTATTATGAACTGATGAAATCTTTAAGGAAAACGAATGGATTCTCTGTAATTTGGGACCAATGTATTGGGATCAAATAAGAGATCTTTAAGACACGTACTGTAATATTCTGCTGGATAAACAAAAATGTATTATATTTTTTTCCAAGTAGGATTTTATTTTTATAAAATTCTTATTTGTCCCATTAGTATCATTTAGATTCCAAATTAGTTATATTATGAAATATTACAATTTAAAAAACTAAATTTTTGATTTTATGTTTTAAAATATAATTCATTCCTGTGATTGCAGAGCAGCTGTTACTTCAGACTTCAGCATCACACAATCCATCAGAAATAATTCAAATATGCTGATTTAGTGCCCTAGAAACTTTTTTTAATATTATCAGTGTTAAAACAGTTGTGCTGCTTGATATATATATATATATTTTTTTTTTAAACAGTGATATATTTTTCTTAGGATTCTGTGATGAATAGAAAATTAAAAAAATTATGTATTTTATATATAAATATATTTATGTATATTTTATTGTGCATTTTTCCCTAGGTTTCTGGATTATTTGTCTGACCTGTGTGTCTCCAACAAAACAGCCATTCCTGTCACTCAGGAACTGATTTGCAAATTCATGCTGAACCCCATCAACGCAGACATCCTCATCCAGACCAAGTGAGATCCTGGGATTAGCTATATAACAATGACTCAGAATTATGGGAAGAAACTCTAATAGTGTCTAACAGGTCGTTTTGTATTATATTAAGATATATGACTGGGTTTATGTTTCCGTAGACTGATCCCACACACAGAGACCTCTCTAGAGTCATCTTTAATCCAGGAGGATGGTGATGATGAAGAGGTATGGCTATACTGGATTGATAACCACAAAGAGCCTCATGGGAAGTCCATCCGCCACCTGGCTCAGGATGCCAAGGATGGACAAAAATTAGACGTTGACATCATCACCTACTACAGGTTAGAGTTCAATCACATCTTTGAAAGATAGTGTATTTGATTTTATTTTGTTTATTTATTGTTTTATCTTCTAAGCAGGATCTTTTATTATTTTTAAATTGGAGTACATATGAATGTCTATCCATTCTCAGGTGTCAGCTCAATCTTTTTGCTAAAATGTGCCTGGATCGGCAGTATCTGGCCATCAATCAGATTTCCAATCAGCTGCCTGTAGATCTAATCCTCCGCTGCATGTTTGATGACTGCCTGCCTTACAACCTGCGTGCCTCATTTTGTCGTCTAATGCTGCACATGCATGTGGACCGCGACCCGCAGGAGGCCGTGGTTCCTGTTCGCTATGCGCGCCTCTGGACTGAGATACCCTCCAAGATCTCTGTCAATGAGTAAGATGGGAACTATCTTTGCCTCTGTTGCTTCTACCATTATGTGGCTTTATTTATAAGACTGCTTTGTGTTGTTCAGCTTATCTGACTGTAAAATTGGTGAACAGGTATGACTATGAGTTCAGAGACACATCCAGAGAGGACATGAAGAGAAAGTTTGCCCCTACTATGCATTTTGTGGATGAATATCTCAAAGATGTGGTCAGTCAGCCTGATCCCTTTGGAGACAGAGAGAAGAATGAATTGACCCTTGAGGTGAGATGATGTTTGGTTCCGTCAATGGTTCTCACATGTGCAATTTTCCATCAGTGTGGACAGAACACCATAAATACTCTGAAATACTCTGACATTGTTTCCTGCGCTACTATTCAGCCAACACCAAATCTACAGTGCGAAACATACAGCCTGACCTGGGGTGCGTTTCCCAAAAGCATCGTTAGCTAACTATGGTGGTAAGTTCCATTGAACTCTATAGGTAATGACGGAACTTGCAACCATAGTTGCTTTTGGGAAACGCACCCCAGGGTAGTCAATTCCAGAACAAATGACTCTTATAAGCTTTTTTCTTAGTGGTTTAGATTTATTCATATAGCAAGATCAGTGTAGTCAATGAATCACTCTGAAGAGTTGATTCTTTAAAGTGAATCAAAACCATACAAGCACGAACAGTGTAGTCCAAATCTCGGACTGATGACTTTTATTGGCTTTTTTTTAATGATGCAGATTTGTTCATATAGCATGACTAGTCTAGTCAGTGTTGGTCACTCACTGTAGTTGTGAGTTGGTTCTTTTTAGTAAATTAAAATCACTGCATGGCCAGTGGAGTCTAATTCTCAAATGACTGATGTTAAAGAGCTGTTTTTTTAGTAAATCAAATTGATCCTTACAGCGCAAACGGTGTAGTCCAGTTCCTGAGCTAATGTCTCTTATAAGCTGCTTTTTTAGTGAATCAAATCCATTAATACAGTGTGACTACTAGTGTAGTCATTGATTCCTGAACAAATGATTCTAAGGAATAGGCTCCATTTAGTGAATCAAAAACACAGCACAACCAGTTTAGTCTGACTACCAAATGAATTTGATAATTCAAATCTATGTCCATCCTATGATTCTTAGAGTATAAGCTGTTTTTTAGTGAATCGAATCCATCCATACAACATGACTGCTGTACTTCCGTTGAATCCTGAACGAATGGTTCTGTTTAGTAAATCAAAAACATACAGAACAACCAGTGTGGTCCGATTACCAAATGAATGACCCTTATGAATGTTTTTTTTATTAAATCAAATCTGTTCATAGAGGGCAAACAGTGTAGTCCAACCAATTACTGAGTGAATGACTCTAAAGATTTGGTTCTATTTAGTGAATCAAAAACACAGCACAACAAGTGTGGTCTGGTTCCCACACCATAAAATTTATTGTATTGAATCAAATTCATCCATACAGCCTGACTGGTATAGTTCAATCGACTCTATTAGTGAATAAAAAATACAGCACATCCAGTGTAGTTGGATTCCAAAAGGGTGTACTGTACTTTATTAGGCATTATTTTTAAGTTAAACTGATTCCCGAACAATTGAATTGGTTCTTTGTAGTGCACCAAAAACATAAAGCGCAAAGAGTGTAGTCCTTATGAGCCAGTACTTTTTAGTGAATCAGTCACATGGAGCTTATGTTGTACTTCATGCTCGTGTGTCTGTGTGTTTTGTATTTGTGTGCCAGGTTTGCTGTTTTTCTTGAGTGTATTATGAGACTTGTCCAGAGGACAGAGCAGAGCAGATTGGCTGCATTAGCTCTACCAGAATACTAATGATTCAGTCTCTAACACTTTGAATTTTAATGGATTTTCTTCTGTCTGTCACTCTAACAGGTGGTCCACCTGGCACGTAACCTGGTCTACTTTGGCTTCTACAGTTTTAATGAGCTGCTGTGCCTCACACGAACCCTGCTGGCCATCCTGGACATTGTCCAACCCACTTCCACATTTATGTTCAAACTCAACAAGAGCCCTGAGGGAGGTGAGACCCCATTTTAAAGCTGTCTTCAGTGTTTGTTTTGCAAGATAATAGCTGCTTGTCCTTGAGGCGGTGTAACACTTCAGGCTGTGTTTGTGTAGGTAATAATGTCATGCGTACCATCCATGGTGTGGGTGAGATGGTGACTCAGATGGTTCTGAGCAGAGGCTTGATGATGCCCCACTGTCTCCCTGATGCTCAGCCAATCCACGGAAAGCAAATCTGTCTCCCTGACAACGAGAACGTCATGGTGATGGACACCAAGCTCAGGATTATTGAGATTCTGCAGGTGATGCCCTTGTAGACTGTTGCATTTCAATGAACTAAATTGATCAGTTATACAACACAAACGTTTCTTTGTTTATGTCGAAGAAAGTTTTGGAGGTTCTGTTAAATGTTGGCATCCTTTTTCATTTCATCTTTTCTATTTATAGTTCATTCTGAATGTGCGTCTCGATTACCGCATCACCTATCTGCTGTCTATCTATAAAAAAGAGTTTGGTGACCAGACTTTGGACACTTCTGCTTCAGTGGCAGAAGTTCCTGTCATGGCTGGTGAGAGTTTCATGACATATACAGTCATATAAATTCATTTCCAACCACACCATGCAGTTGATTAGTTTATTTTTGGTTTCAAGGGTATGTGTGTGTGTATATTTTAATATTACTGTGGTATGTTCCAGAGCCAAACATTGAGGAGATTGCGGAGAAAGCAGAGAATATGTTTTCAGGGAGGTGAGGGAATGATTTCTTGCAATGTGTTTGTTTTTTTTCTGTTTGGTGTATAAAATACAATTGAATTGTGATACCTGAATCACTATCAGCACAGATACTGCCTTTTTTTAAAAGGATTGAAAATAAGTCAGACTGTCGATACAGTAATACTGTGAAATATTGTTCAAATTTGGAATAATTGTTTTAATATATTTTAATATGGGATTTATTCATATGATAGCAAAGCTGAATTTTCAGCAGTCATTACATAGATTCTTCAGAAATCATTCTGTTCCTTCAAAAATTCAATATGTTGATTTTGTGATCAATAAACATGTCTTATTATAATCAATGTTAAAAACAGTTGTGCTGCGTAATATTTTTTGTGGAAATTGCCTTTTTCAGGATTTGATTAATAGAATGTTCAAAAGAACAGCATTTATTTGAAATTGTATTGTAACAATTTGTTACAAGTTGTTTCACCTTTGATCAATTTAATGCATTCTTGCTTAATAAAAGTTTTTTTTTTTTCTTTTAAGCAAACCAAAAATATTACTGACCTTAAATTTTGATCGGTAGTGTAAATAAACTTTGTTCCCCCTTTTTAAAAATTGATTTTAAGAGGCATTTTTACCTTTATGTGGATTTTTTTTCTGACAATAAAAAGAAGCAGTGTGCTGTGTGATTTGAATGAATTAAAAACAACAATATGAACAAACATGCCCAAGATATCATAACACGATAAACTCTCTACTAGATTACGTTTCTGTAATTTTGCCATTTTTTTTGCTGCTGTGTCTTTAGGACTTCTATGTAAACACTTGATTTTTGGATTGGCTTCATTATTGATTCAGATCTCGTGTTGTTGTGTTCACAGTGCTAAGGAGAGGAACTCGGTGGACCTCGATGATGAAGGCGGTCAGACGTTTCTGCGGGTGCTTATTCACCTCATCATGCAGGACTACCCTCCGCTGGTCTCCGGCTCTCTTCAGCTCATCTTCAAACACTTCAGCCAGAGAGCCGAAGTTCTGCAGGCCTTCAAACAGGTCTTACTCTCACTCATACTTCTTATCAGTTCTTCTTATCTTCTTATCAGTGTATGGAGGTTTTAAATATTCTGTTTTAATGGAAGAACCACATGTTTTAATGGTGCTATTGGCCAGTTAACAATGGTGTTTGTTTTGCAGGTCCAGTTGCTGGTTTCTGAGGAGGATGTGGAGAATTATAAGAAGATTAAGGCAAGTCTGGACCAGCTGCGGCTGACAGTGGAGAAGTCTGAGCTCTGGGTTGAGAAGAGTGGAGGTTACAGCAGTGAAGACATTGCTGAGAATCAAAACAAAGAGCAGAATTTGGAGGTGCGCACCTACTGGAGAAACACTGCAAGCATATTGCTAAATTGTAGTGCAGCAGATTTGCTTCCTCTCTGCAGTGCATTGCGAATACAGCAAAGAGAATACATTTGCCGTCTTATTTTGTAAGACTTTGATACAGCAGTTAATGTTTGATGTGGATTAATTTTGTGACCCTCATAAGATTAGTTCACTAATAATTTTGTCGTAATAATTAGAGATTGACCAACATTGTATTTCATAAATTATGATAAACTCATAATACTGATATTAGTAATAAAATAATGATAATGCACATTAAGTTTTATCCTTGTAGTTTAGTAATAATTTTTTATAATTTTTTGCTATTGTTGTGTCAAAAAGCAAAAAATTCATTAATTGAAATGAAGCTGAAAATAAAATATAAATATATATATGTATATAAACAACTTTTAAAAAACCTTAATATTTAATATTCATTCAAGTTTAAGTACTAAACTACTAAAAATAAAAAACTAACTATGACAAAATAAATTTATATGTATACATAATTATATATTTTACATAAAATGATGAATGCTTAAATCAAATTTAAATTGAAAAACAAAAATTTAAAAATGAAAGCTAATTCCAAATATTATATATAATATAATAGTAATATATAAATAATTCTAAAATAAAAGAGTTAAATGGATATCTTTTATGAGACACAAAATTTCTTGATTTCACACCTTAATTTCTGGTTTATAGGAAGCAGGTATCTTGAGCCCAGTGCAGGATGGGAACAGTAAACCTCAAATAGACAGCAACAAAGCCAACAACTACAAAATCGTCAAAGAGGTGGGAACTTTTTCATACAGTGTTCCTCAGCTCCAGTGATGAAAAATTTTCGAGACCGAAGAACTCGAAAATACTTAACTTCAAACTTGTGATTTTGTTTCTGATGTAGATCCTGCTGAGTCTCAGTAAACTCTGCTCTCCTGGTAAGAAGATTCGTGTGCAGCAGCAGAGGTTGTTGAAGAACATGGGAGCTCACACTGTGGTGCTAGACCTCCTCCAGATCCCATATGAGAAGGTGAGTAGACGTTCCTTCAGTGCTTAAATGATCAGTTCAGTATTTTATAGATTCCACAACCAGGCATTAGTGAATTTTGTTCATTAATTCAGAAGTGGTTTAACCATTATATATCGTAACATTGTCATATGCTACTGTAAAATAAATCTAGACCTGGAGATTGTCATATTGAGATCCTTATGCTGCCAAACTCTTGCTGCTCCGTCTTCAGGGGGACGAAAAGATGGACGAGATCATGTCTCTAGCCCACACTTTCCTTCAGTATTTCTGCAGAGATAATCCTCAGAACCAGGCGCTGCTGCACAAACACCTCAACCTCTTCCTCACCCCTGGGGTGCGTGTCACCACTGAGTTGATTTCAGCTGAGGACACTGTTAATGAGCATTACACGTCCTTTCTATTAATAGATTATTTGGTGTTAAAAGGGAATTCTGATGAATATTTCATTTGATTCTCTCTTTGCTTCTCTCAGCTTCTGGAGGCAAAAACCATGTGCTACATCTTTAGGAACAACTACCACCTGTGCAATGAGATCAGCGACCGCGTGGTGCATCATTTCGTGCACTGCATTGAGACCCACGGCCGTCACGTGCAGTACCTGCGCTTCCTCCAAACCATTGTGAAAGCCGATGGCAAATATGTGAAGGAATGTCAATGCAAAGTCATGAATGAGGTGAGAAGGACTTTGAATTTAATGTGTGATGGAGATATGTACATGTGTATCATGTTTATAATACTCAGAGTATTAAAATTATATTTTTGCACATATTTATTATTAATTATAATTAATAATATATTTTGAAAATAATTATATTTTTATATCTATTGTTTTCTTTTTGTATAATTTTATAATACTTATCAGTAATTTTGAAAATATTTTAATACTCATTTTTGTATCACTCTCCACTAATTGTCAATATAGACTTCCCTTCACATAAAAGTGAATTTATGTGTTTGTAGAGCTAAATCAGACATTGTGTTTGTTTTGGGCCGTAGCTGGTGAATGGAGGAGAAGACGTGTTGGTTTTCTACAATGACCGTGCCTCTTTCCCGGTGCTGCAAAATATGATGTCGTCTCCGAGGGAGGAGAATGATGCTCTAGCGTACCACATCACCCTAGTGGAGCTGCTGGCAGCCTGCACCGAGGGCAAGAACGTTGATACAGAGCTCAAGTGCAACTCACTTCTGCCGCTTGATGACATTGTCAAAGTGGTCACGTACGACGGCTGCATTCCAGAGGTGATGGAACATTAACCCTACCTGAATGTTCTCTTGAAAAGCTCACCATGGCATATTTGAAAAGTGCTAGAGCTGTTGATTATGTTGTAATGATGCTTTTATAAGTTATCTAATGACATTAGTCTAATAATGGAGAACAAAATGTTTGCTCATGCTATTACTGTGCATGACGAGTTAAAAGTTTAAAACTCTCAAGAACATGCACAGTATTGATCCTTACAAAAAAATAGATGTTGAAAAAACAGATGGAAATACCACAGTGCTTTGATATACAGTGGACAAAATGCACTACTATTCAAAAGTTTGGGGTCAGTAATTTTTTAAAGAAATTAATGCTTTTGTTCAGTTAGGATGCGTTAAATTGGTCATAATTGACAGTAAAGACATTAAGAATATAACAAAAGATTTCTATCTCAAATTAATTCTGTTCTTTTTGAATTTTCTTTTCTATTCATCAAAGAATCCTGAAAAAATGTATTACAGTTCACACAAAATATCAACCATTTTTAACATTGATAATAATAAGAAATGTTTCTTGAGCACCAAATCAGCATATTAGAATGATTTCTGAATGTGACATTAAAGAAAAATTACATTTTAAAATATATTAAAGTAGAAAACAGTTATTGGTGTTATTGTTATTATAATTTTTTTTATCATTTTTATCGTTTCACAATATTACTGTTTTTATTATATTTTTTATCCAAAAATGCAGACCTTTTAAAAGACCTCTTTTAAAAACATTAAAAATAATGTTCAGATGCCAAACTTTTGAATATTAGTGAATATATATTTTTGGCCACACATTTAAAACGTTTGAATGTCAATGCATGAGATAAAATAACATACCAATACAATAATTTTCTAAATTAGGTTTGAAATAAAAAAAGAATAATAATAATAATTGAAAATTTTAAATAAATATATATATATTTTTTTAAGTTGGCTTAAATGTCCAAATACCTTTTTACGGCCACAGTATACCATTGTATGAAATGTTTACCAAAAAAAAAAAAGACTTGGTAGTGCCATGTCCAAAAAATGCAATTAAAACTGTAGACTTTTTTTGTAAGTGATATTAGCGAGACTTTTTGAGTGTTGTTTTTACATCTTTTGCAGGTAAAAATTGCATATGTAAATTTCGTGAACCATTGCTATGTGGACACTGAGGTGGAGATGAAGGAGATCTACACCAGCAATCACATTTGGAAACTCTTTGAAAATTTCCTTGTAGACATGGCAAGGGTGAGTTAACTGACACCAACTAACTCTTTCTCTCTCTGTTTCCCTCCCTCGCAATTTGTGAGGCATAATATACAGGCTTAAAGAGCTGTTTAGATCATCTGTGACTGATTTGTGCTTGCTAATGTGGGTGCTAAGCATCCTGACCTGATGATGATGTTGTTGTAGGTGTCTAACGGCCCCACAGACAGGAAGCATGCTGATACATGCCTCGAAAAATACGTCACTGATACCATCATGGCCATCGTCAAGGGCTTCTTCGGCTCGCAGTTCTCTGTCAGCAACTCGAACCTGCAGGTAGAGTGAGAAAGTTCAATCCACCAGTTCCTCACCTCATCTCATCTCAGTCTGATGTGAAGAGGAGACTTATTTCTCTCCCTATGCTCTATGAATCAGTCATATTAATGTTGCTTTGCTAATCTCTTCGTCAGGCCCATCAAGCAACTTTCATTAAACTGCTGCAGTCAGCCTGCAGACTCTACAACTGCACCTGGCTCAACTCCCTGCAGAAGACTAACATTGAGGGTTGCATCAAAACCCTTGCTGACGTGGGTAAGTTTCACATCTGGCAGTGATGAGTCTTAACCCAAATATAATGCCTCCATGTGACAGAGGGTTTTGGTTTGTGGATTAAATGTTTTTTTTTTTAATGAATAGTCATATATGGTAGCTTCACCATGACTAAAAAATGCTTCCAGCTAATTATTCGATGCTGACATGTTTTTTAAATATTGACCATCCTCCTTAAGATTTCTAAATTCCTGCAATTGGCACCTAATGAAATAAAAAATTAAGCAATTTTATGTAAAAGCTATTTAAAATGTATATATGTATATTTGTGTGTGTATATATATATATATATATATATAT